AAAATAGTAATGTGAGTAGATAAATAGTTTTCCAACAGGGAGGTCTAGGTGCCTTTTTAGGAGGGCCGGGCTTTAGCACAGCGGGTTAAACCGCTGCTGCAGAAAATATTTCCTATTAAAAGGTTGACAGTTCAAGCCCGGGTTGGGGTGAGCTCTCAACTGTTAGCCCAGCTCTTGCTCACTTACCAGTTCAAAAACATGTGAGTAGATAAATAGTTTTCCAACAGGGGGGTCTAGGTGCTTTTTTAGCAGGACCAGGCTTTAGCACAGCGGGTTAAACCGCCGCTGCAGAAAATATTGCCAATCGAAAGGTTGACAGGTCAAGCCCGGGTTGGGGTGAGCTCCCAACTGTCAGCCCAGCTTCTGCTCAGATACCAGTTCAAAAATAGTAATGTGAGTAGATAAATAGTTTTCCAACAGGGAGGTCTAGGTGCCTTTTTAGGAGGGCCGGGCTTTAGTACAGTGGGTTAAAACACCAGCTGCTGAAAATATTGCTGATCAAAAGGTTGGCAGTTCAAGCCCGGGTTGGGGTGAGCGCCCAACTGTCAGCCCAGCTTCTGCTCACCTAGAAAATGTTGGCCATGTGGACATGCCAGCGATTCAATCAGGAGAACGTCTAAGCACAACAAAGCTCCTCGGCATGGAAGATGGAGCCACAGCACCCCAGTGGCTGGAGTCGAGCACAGCCTCCAGATGCCAGAGATGGAAAAAGGTGGGAAGCCTTTATCTTTGTTTATATACTGTCTGTCTCTGTTCATTGTATTAACAGCATTAAATGTTTGCCATATATGTGTACTGTAATCCACCCTGTGTCATAGAATCATGGAGTTGGAAGAGATCTCATGGGCCATCCAGTCCATGCCAAAAAGCAGGAAAATTGCATTCAAAGCACCCCCGACAGATGGCCATCTACCCTCTGCTTAAAAGCCCCCAAAGAAGGAGCCTCCACCACACTTCGGGGCAGAGAGTTCCACTGCTGAATGGCTCTCACAGTGAGGAAGTTCTTCCTAATGTTCAGATGGATTTTCCTTTCTTGTAGTTTGAAGCCATTGTTCCATTGCGTCCTAGTCTCCAGGGAAGCAGAAAACAAGTTTGCTCCCTCCTCCCTATGACTTTACATATTTATATGTGATCATCCTTTAGACTCCACGGGCGGAGTGAGATCTTGCGTGGAGCCCCAGATCGAGGGTGGTTCTCCGTGGTCTTGGATCTCTTCCATTTTCTATTGATTGCTCCCACCATTGATTTCTTCACACCAAGTTGCTTGCCTATTGCAGATTCAGTCTTCCCAGTCTGGTGCAGGGCGACCATTTTGGTTCTGGTGTCCTTCGACTGCTCTTTGGCCTTCACCAGAATGCAGTTTGGAGTGGGACTTCTTGAGGTTGTGGACAGGGGTCTTTTAGACTGAGAACCAGTACAAAGAGGTGCCATTACTACAGGTCATGAGCGGAGGACAGAGGAGCCTGTGTGGAAGACCCAGAAATCTTGCTTGTTTGTAGGTGACCAAATACTTATTTTCCACCATAATTGGCAAATAAATTAGTTAAAAATCAGACAATGTTATTTTTCTGGATGTGTTTTCTCATGTTGTCTCTCATAGTTGTGGTCTACCTAGGATGTCAATTACAGGCCTCTCGCATCTTTTTAAGTGGGAGAACTTGTACAATTTGTATCTGATTAAATACTCCCCCCCCCCCACTGTATACTAAGTATGTAGCCCACAATAAATCTGTGTTACAGTAAGTCATAGCAGGATCATGTGTGTGTGTGTGTGTTAAAGAAAAACCTTATGATGTTAATTATTATGTGCAGCTGGTAATGTAGGTCAGCCAGAATGTTTGAGCCACACCCGGTGGGGTATAACTGTATGGATTCTATGTTCAGCAGTGGAACTCTCTGCCCCAGAGTGTGGTAGAAGCTCCTTCTTTGGAGACTTTTAAACAGAGCCGGATGGCTATCTGTTGGGGGTGCTTTGAATAAATCCTAGGTACAGCTGATCTGTGTTACAGTAAGTCCTAGCAGGATCAAGCGTGTGTGCTAAAGAAAAACCTTATGATGTTAATTATTATGTGCAGCTGGTAAAGTAGGTTAGCTGGCATGTTTGGGCCATACCTAATGGCGTATAACTGTATGGATTCTATGTTCAGTAGTGGAACTCTCTGCCCCGGAATGTGGTGGAGGCTCCTTCTTTGGAGGCTTTTAAACAGTTTGGAGAAGCAATATCCTGGCTGAAGGAGATGCAATATGCTGTAATTCTGCTATACTCTAACAGCGATGCTCTTTGCTATGGTGGAATAGCTATTTACTCAAAGTTTATGTTTATGTTCCAGTTATCCAAACATGCAAGGTCAAATGAGATAAATAAGGTAAGAGAGAGATGCCGAGGACGCAGATGGAAAAGAACACATTAATTCAACAACAACAACAACAGGTGTTACAGTAAGTCATAGCAGGATCAAATGTGTGTGTTAAAAAAAACCCTTATGATGTTAATTATGTGCAGCTGATAATGTAGGTCAGCCAGCATGTTTGGGCCACACCTGGTGGGGTATAACTGTATGGATTTTACAATACAGTTTGGAGAAGCAGTATGCTGTACTGTTGCTATGCTCAAACAGCGATGCTCTTTGCTATGGTAGAATAGCTATTTACTCAAGGTTTATGTTTTGCTCTCTCATTTGAATGAAGATGAAGAAGCCTTATTCTGTGTTACTTACAAGGACGATGTAAGTTTGTTGCACTGTTTGATTTTGTATGCAACACCGCAAGTTTATGTTTTGCCTCTGCTGATAAGACTAAAGTTTTTTGGTTCCTTCTTCCTCTTGCCTGTATGTCTATTGCATTGGACCTGGCTAAAAAAATATATATTACTCATTTACAGCATTTCTACCCCGCTCTTCTCACCCCCGCAGGGGGACTCAGAGCGGCTAACAATGGCAACGATTCGATGCCGGAGTAAAATCACCTTGCTTAAGACACCAAAGAACACACCAGCAGTAGTCTTTATGGTTTATTAAAGAAAAAGATGAAAAGTTTAGAAAGGCAAAAGTATATTTCAAAAGATCAGTCCAAGGTAACATAGGCAAACAAGATCCAGGAAGACACAGGCAAGGCAAAGTCCCATGAGAACATGACAAAGTCCTGAAAACATGAACATGAAGGCTGCAAGATAAATCCAAAGTCTCTTGGTTGAAGCGGGAAGTTGCTCTGACACTGAGGCATATTCAAACAGCCTGTTTAATACTCTTTGGACTCCGACACGCCTTCTAACCTTAAATTCCAACCGATCAGCCTGATCTAAACCTCCAGCTTCATCAAGGTCAATTCCCTCGTTAGTGCTTTTTCCCTCATTATCTGGCTGAGAACAATCTGGCTGAGAGCTGTCCTCCCTTCCTGAATCATACACCTGGCTCTTAGTAGTTTCACTATCCCCAGCGTCATTGAACTTCTGCCCCCTGTTCCTGGTCTTCTCCATCTAACACAGGGACATCATTGTTTTGCACCTGATTGTGAATCTGAATCCCATCATCCCCATCAGAATCATTGACACTATCACTCTGAGATTCCAGCTGAGTCACAACATCTGGTCCAATTCATTGTTCAGGTGCCATTATATCCATTAGCCAAAAGCCTAGTTCCACAACCACGTCTTCAGTTTTCTTCTGAAAGAAACGAGGGAGGGCAGCGATCTAATTTCGCTGGGGAGTGAATTCCACAGGCTGGGGGTCACCACCGAGAAGGCCCTGTCCCTCGTCCCCACCAGTCGCGTTTGCGAAGCTGGTGGGACTGAGAACAGGGCCTCCCCGGCAGATCTTAAACTACGAGGAGGAACACAGAGGGAGGTACGTTCGGACAAGTAAGCTGGGTAGGAGTCGTATAGGGCTTTATAGGCCACTTTGAATTGTGCTCAGAAATGGACCGGCTGTTGGGATTCAGCCTGTGTGTGAACCTGAACCTGATTCTCTGATTGTATTTCCTGATGCCAATGTAGATGTCAATGTGAATTCTGAGGCCAATTTAGATGATGATGGTTTGAGTAGTGAAAATCCTACAGCCTTGGAAAGTGAAAGTCAAAATTCCCATGAGAACATGCATTCCGAGCCGAGAGATGTTTCACTCCCTTTTCCTCCCAGTCTTAGTTCTCCAGAGAATCTGACACCTGGTCTCCCTAATGAGGATAGGTGGGGGCAGATTTGGCAGAGCCAGGGTGAAGCACAACGTTTACGTAGGTCAGCCAGATTGAAAGAAATGCAAACAAAATCTTCAGGCATGTCTCGCAATAGATTTCTCGGCCTTAAATATGCCTGGCCTGAATGCAGCTTCAGACCAGGCATCGTTCCAGATTCATGTGCAAGCTTTTCCAGGTCTCCTGATTCAAGTGGCCTTGTTCCTCAGAGGTTTTCTAGTTGTTCCTAGTATGGTTAGTGGATTGCTAACAGGTTTCAGGATTGAGCAGTTTTGCTGTGGATTTCACGATCTTGTTTGTGGACCTTTCTTATTCCTCATTTTTACTGTGACTTTTTACATTTGCATATTTCTTCTATTTTGTATTCATCTTTCATCAATAAAAAAGGATTGTTTTCCTGAAGTCAAGTGTGGTGGATTGTTGTCTGAGGGTCCACTTCCTGCTCTGGGTTGCAACACCGGCAGCCAATGGAATTGACGTATGCTCATAGAATCATAGAATCAAAGAGTTGGAAGAGACCTCATGGGCCATCCAGTCCAACCCCCTGCCAAGAAGCAGGAATATTGCATTCAAAGCACCCCTGACAGATGGCCATCCAGCCTCTGTTTAAAAGCCTCCACCACACTTCGGGGCAGAGAGTTCCGCTGCTGAACGGCTCTCACAGTCAGGAAGTTCTTCCTAATGCTCTGCGCAACAATCTGCCTCTATCACAACATAATAAATATGGAATCAAATCAATAACAAGCAAGCAACAGTCCAACATCAGCCTATGTCTAGCTAGATACAACAATAAGTAGCACTGCAATGGCCTTACCTTTCTGTAGTGAGGTTTTGGCACCTGATTTCCCCCCCGATCGATGAATAGTATGAAATGAATACGGTTCAATGGAGAAGGAGGGGGGTGGAGAATGGGAAGGAAGGGGGACACAAAAAGAGAGAATATATGAATGAAGAATGAGAATGGAGGCAAAGAGGTGATCACATAGGTGGCAATGAGTTGACAACATGCTAAGCTATAACAATGCAACAATGCCTTTCCACTCTATGTTATGGAATCTATATCTGTGCACATGACTACAGCTTCCATCAGACCCACACAGTTGGTAATTTGATTTTTTTTTTGGTAATTTAATGTGGTCGGTTAGGGTTGGCAGGGCTGTGTCCTTCTTTGGTGAGACTGACCACACTCATTAGTCTCTTTTCACAAAGGGAACGGAGCAATGGCCTCTTTATAGGCCGAGTCTCGCCTCGCTCCGCTGCCCACGACCCGTCTATTTTTAATAGGTTCGTTCAGCTTTGCACTTTTCCCTTTATGATTTGACAAATGGGCTAACAAATAGGAAGAGCGGACTAAATGAAAAGTGGGGAAGGGGAGGTTGGGAAGGAAAGGGCAAGATAAAGGCAACTGCTGCAGAAAGGGGGCCCGGAGCAGAGGTACACAACCCGACACACACATGGCCTCCGGAAACGCATGAGAATCCCCCGTCTTGACATTTCAGATTTAATTAAACCCAAAATAGGGAAGCAGAAAGTTTCTAGCGACAGATGAGGCTCAGGTAGGGGTGGGGAAATCACATCCGCGGGCCACCTGTGGCCCAAATCCCATTTGGGTGGGCCCAATTCTTCCAACATACCAAGATACCTTTATTTATTTATTTTTAAAGTGAAAAAAATGTGGAACCCAATATTGGTGTTATGGTAATTTCAGTTGGACCATATATCCGACCCTTGGATTAAAGCACATAGAAGGAAGCTTAAGGACAGGTCCTGATTGTTATATAAATCCTCCATGATCCCCAGGTTGTGCCAGTCAGTTACCTGAGGTGTCGACAACTGATAAGCGTTTGGCTATAAATCATGTTCCTACGAGGTGTTCTTTCTCCTTTCATGGTCACAATGAAGTTGATAGGAACTTATTTATTTATTTTTATTTATTTATTTTGGTTGCTTCTACCCCGCCCTTCTCACCCCGGAGGGGACTCAGGGTGGCTTACAAAAGCAAGGCACAATTCGATGCCCGCATCACATAACAGCAAAAGACAATAACATCAGTTAACAGAAAACAGCAATTCTCGCAATAACATCAATTAACAGAAGACAATAATTATTGTAAGGCAAAAACAACCATAAAACCAATAAAACCAATACAAACCATTTCTCCTCATTACAGTCAGCGTTTCAAAACTCATAGTTCAAATTCCAATTCCGCAATTGTCAGTCCTTTCAGTTCTATCCATCTGGTTGTCCATATCTAGTTGTCAGATTGCCCAAAGGCCTGGTCCCACAACCACGTCTTTACCTTCCTCCTGAAGGAGAGGAGGGATGTTGATGCCCTAATTTCCCCTGGGAGTGAGTTCCACAGGTGAGGGGCCACCACTGAGAAGGCCCTGCTCCTCGTCCCCACCAGCCTCACTTGTGATAGCGGTGGGGTCGAGAGCAGGGCCTCCCCAGATGATCTCAAACTCCGGGGTGGGACGTAGAGGGAGATACGTTTGGACAGATACACTGGACCGGAACCGTAAAGGGTTTTGTAGGTCCCCAGGAGGAGGGACCCTGGGACCCCACCAAAGAGGGATCGCTACTTTGGCGAGCTCAGAGAAGCCTGATTTCAGCAATTTTATTTTCTTTAAAAATCCAAAAGAAACCTCACCAAAGTTGAAGAAGCGGCACCGAGGTGTTTTTATTAGTGATTCAGCTGAAAAGAATGCAATGTAGCAATCATTCGCCTACAGAGCATCCTTTTCAGCTGAATCGCTAATAAAAACACCTCGGTGCCGCTTCTTCAACTTTGGTGAGATTTCTTTTGGATTTTTAAAGAAAATAAAATTGCTGAAATCAGGCTTCTCTGAGCTCGTCAAAGTAGCGATCCCTCTTTGGTGGGGTCCCAGGGTCTCTCCTCCTGGGGCAGACTCTCCTAAAGTTCCCATCGACTTCAATTGGCGACCACGAAGGGACGTGTTACATTGTTGGGGCTAGCAAGGAAGTGAAAGGAGAGAGAGCACACGGCTGTGTAGAGTCCCTGGTTGAGCTTGCTGTTGGGGCACATTTCATCAGTTTGGCCCAATTTGGCATCCAGGAACTGCGGAACTCCCTGCTGCTGATCACACCAGCTTGAAGGCCGGGGCCTGGGATGCCCTCAACGACAACAACAGGGTGGTTACACCCTATTATTATTATTATTATTATTATTATTATTATTATTATTAGCAGTATTAATCATATTAATCATACTATTCACATTATTATTATTATTATTATTAGCAGTATTAATCATATTAATCATACTATTCACATTATTATTATTATTATTATTAGCAGTATTAATCATATTAATCATACTATTCACATTATTATTATTATTATTATTATTAGCAGTATTAATCATATTAATCATACTATTCACATTATTATTATTATTATTATTATTATTAGCAGTATTAATCATATTAATCATACTATTCACATTATTATTATTATTATTATTATTATTATTATTAAAAGATTACCCTAGGCACTGCCAGACCATCAAATGCTAATCAAGGTGGTCAGTTGAAACATTCACACCTAGCTCCAACAGACAAGAGTTCTTTGTCCCACCCTGGTCCTTTCACAGATATATAAATCCATTTTCCTAGTTCCAACAGACCTCACTACCTCTGAGGATGCTTGCCATAGATGCAGGCGAAACGTCAGGAGAGAATGCCTCTAGAACATGGCCATATAGCCCGAAAAAACCTACAACAGCCCTATTATTATTATTATTATTATTATTATTATTAATAATAATAATATCCTGCTTTTTCTCTCCATAGAATCAGAGTTGGAAGAGACTCATGGGCCATCCAGTCCAACCCCCTGCCAAGCAGGAAAATTGCATTCAAAGCACCCCCGACAGATGGCCATCCAGCCTCTGTTTAAAAGCTTCCAAAGAAGGAGCCTCCACCACACTCCAGGGCAGAGAGTTCCACTGCTGAATGGCTCTCACAGTCAGGAAGTTCTTCCTCATGTTCAGATGGAATCTCCTCTCTTGTAGTTTGAAGCCATTGTTCCTTGTCCTAATCTCCAAGGAAGCAGAAAACAAGTTTGCTCCCTCCTCCCTGTGGCTTCCTCTCACATATTTATACATGGCTATCATATCTCCTCTCATCCTTCTCTTCTTCAGGCTAAACATGCCCAGCTCCTTAAGCCACTCCTCATAGGGCTTGTTCTCCAGACCCTTGATCATTTTAGTTGCCCTCCTCTGGACACATTCCAGCTTGTCAATATCTCTCTTGAATTGTGGTGCCCAGAATGGGACACAATATTCCAGCTGTGGTCTCACCAAAGCAGAATAGAGCATGGGGAGCATGACTTCCCTAGATCTAGACACTATGCTCCTATTGATGCAGGCCAAAATCCCATTGGCTTTTTTTGCCGCCACATCACATTGTTGGCTCCTGTTTAACTTGTTGTCCACGAGGACTCCAAGATCTTTTTCTGGGGTTGCAGTTGGGTTGGTTGGTGACTGCTGGAAGAGTGGCTTGTAGGTCTTCTTCTGAATGTGCACAGACGACGTTGCCATCAGCATATTGAAGTTCTATAACAGATGTTGTTGTAACCTTGGTTTTGGCTTTCAGTCTGCTAGGTGTCTAGCACCACATCGGATTTTCAATTATCCAATGTTATGCCAGCCCGTTTATGTCAGATAAGTGAGACTCTACTGTATTATTATCTTTTTTAAAAATTTTATTTAAGTAAACATACATTTGCAAGTGTTTGTTGCATACAGTGCAATACTCTCCATCTATTAATGTTCTATAATCCTTTATCTCATAATATATTTCTAATAAGGGGTCACAGTCTACTATCTAAATATTACATAAAAAGATATCATAGATTCTTACTTTACATCCACTTCTTCCTTGTCTACAGTCTTATAGGATCCTCTATATACATTTTTAATTTAGCTTTACATTAAGGTGTTGAATCATTGGTTGCCATTCATTAACGACGTTGTCTAGTATTTCTCCTCTTAATAATACAGTTATTTTGTCCATTATCAACATATCTATAATATATTTTTCCCATTCTTCTAAGGGAGGTATATCTGGGGTTTTCCAATATCTAGCATATACTATTCGAGCTGCCACTGATGTGTAAAACAATTTTTTTCCAAATTTTCTTTCTAATTCTTCTTCGGGCATATTCAAAAGGTACATTTGAGGTGTCATTTTGAAATTTGTGTTTAACATTTTTTCAAGATATATGTGGATCTGTTTCCAGTATTTTTTTACTTTGCTACTGTATTATTATTATTACCTATTGATCTACTCACATTTGCATGTTTTCAAACTGCTAGGTTGGCAGAATAATAGAATCATAGAATCATAGAATCAAAGAGTTGGAAGAGACTTCATGGGCCATCCCGTCCAACCCCCTGCCAAGAAGCAGGAATATTGCATTCAAATCACCCCTGACAGATGGCCATCCAGCCTCTGTTTAAAAGCTTCCAAAGAAGGAGCCTCCACCACACTCCGGGGCAGAGAGTTCCACTGCTGAACGGCTCTCACAGTCAGGAAGTTCTTCCTCATGTTCAGATGGAATCTCTTCTCTTGTAGTTTGAAGCCATTGTTCCGCGTCCTAGTCTCCAAGGAAGCAGAAAACAAGCTTGCTCCCTCCTCCCTGTGGCTTCCTCTCACATATTTATACATGGCTATCATATCTCCTCTCAGCCTTCTCTTCTTCAGGCTAAAAATGCCCAGTTCCCTAAGCCGCTCCTCATAGGGCTTGTTCTCCAGACCCTTGATCATTTTAGTCGCCCTCCTCTGGACACATTCCAGCTTGTCAATATCTCTCTTG